CCAGCTGGGTGCACCAAGTGGGTTCAGCTTCCACCAACCTTGCCACCATCTTCTGGACCTGAAGCATGAACCTTTAACCACTGGGCTATACTGAGTGGTCACAGCACAGGCCCAGGGAGGAAAGGCTTGTGAGAAGGGTACACTGGACCAACACAGGGCTTCACTAGCTGGAGGTTACCAAGGGTATTCCATATACAACCCTGCCTTGGCTGCTAGTCCACTTTGGTCTATCTAGAACTTCATAGTTTGGAAAGCCTCATATTTCTGCTCCAGTGGACATTAGCAGTGCAGTCCTCAGCCATATCAACCCTCTTCTATGTTCAGTTCCACTGCTACTAAGTACCCAACCTTTGCTAGACAAGACCCATGCTCATGTCCCATCCCTGTCTACCTCACAGGGCAATTAAGCAAGATCAAATGAATTTATGAGGCATATCATGCCACAGCATCTAGTAAATCTCTCTCTGTTTGCATCTATATAGTAAAGCAAATGCAGTAATTGTGGACTTGACCCCAAAATGCTCAGGAGCTCAGGTTTCTGATTGGCCTGGGTTTTGAGACCTATCAGAAGCTGTACTTTCTTTCTACAAGGTACCTAACCTCTCTGAGGCTGTTTCTTCTCCTGTAAAATGGGTATAATTTTATTTATAGCTGCTTTTTCCCAGGAAGGGTTTAAAGCAGAAAAAGACACTTAAAAATTGTGATATGAGAAAATACATCTAAGAGTAATTCACAGTTACTAACTCACTAATCCTCACAAAAACCATATGAAGTAGTTGCTTTATTGCCCCCATTTTACAGAGCAGGAGTTGAAATATTGGAGGTACAGCACTAAAGAGGGCTTCCTGAATCCTAACGTGAGCACACAGAACACTAGCTTTTTTCTCTTCACAGTTGAGAACACCTCCATTTTTCTGTAGAGAAGTATGCAAACATTAAAAAAAAAAAAGACTAAAGCCAAGTGTCTTAAACACCAGTGCCCTAAATTTAAAGTGGCCATTCCCTACATATGCTGCCTGGCAACTGACATGCCACAAAGGAGAAAACATACTAACAAAGTGGTAAGTCTTACAGAACCCACCATCAACACTTTCACCTAGCAATTATCCTTTATATTTATCCCATGTTCACCTTATCATGACACAGATGCACACTCAATACCTGTGTTCACAGCTCTAGTGGCTAAATATGGCTGTATTTAATATGCTTGAAATATGAAGCAGAATTACCCTCACAAATGAACTCCTTTCCCTTTTTTGTTGTAGACAGCTCTGCCTTGTTCTAGGAATTGTATCTCCACCCCTTGTGGCTAAGGGTGAGCAACAACCTTTGGAATGTGAGCCACAGGAGACAAAGCTTGTCTCTGGTAGCAAATGCTGCCTCAGTTTCCTCTCCCTGCCCCCAAAGCTTGGTCAGAAGTCAATGATGGGTAAGACCCCTCACAGTGGGGGAGCAACCTAAGCCAGACTGGGGAGGGGGGGCTGCACAAAGAGTGAGCAATGGACACCCCCCTCCAAGCTTCGACATAGCTGGAGTCCCCATGTTCTCTGGGAGAAGTGCTTCCTGGCTCTAATCCCCTTAATCCTGAATACCTGATGGGGAAGGATGCAGCTCCTTGCCTTGCTAGAGCATGTCCTGCGGGGAAAAATCTGGCATCACAAAGACTTCCTGATAAACCTGTGAAATCTGCTCTGCTAAGAGTGCTTTCATTCATATGTTAAGGGTTCAAGCAGGAAACCCTAAAACTGTTCCTGACAGACTCTGACTCATACCAAGCCCCCAGATTTCTTTGAAATGTTATGTTTGATCCTTGCTGCCCTGTATTCCTGTGCATTACAACCCAATAAAAGCCCCTAGAGGAGTGGGCTCAATGCTTTTTTCCCCTGAGAAACTGGCTACTGCTCACAGCCTTTTTCCTCTGGGAAAATGGCCACTTCTCCTACCCAAGCAGATCACATTATGCCTGTCGATTACTCTCATTGTGGCGGTCAGGGGAACTTGCGAGGAAGTCAACCCCACACCTTTTAATATAATCACAAAACTCACAAGTTATCCTGATGGCTGTGAAACTGAATCTGCATGTTCTTAGGCTGGCACTTTGACTGTTTCACCTTCCTTGGCCTTAGAGCAGGACCCTTCCCTTACCTGTTAACCTCTGTGCTACCTCCAGCATCCTCACAAGGCTCAATCCAGGATGGAAGATTTGTGGGCATCTGCTGAGGATTTTATTAACCATATGCTATAAACTAGAGGCTGTAGGATAGAGCAGTGTTAGATGTAAGCACCCACTCCCAACAGGCTGTAAGAAGTGAGACTGGAGTTGAGTACAAAACTGAAGACTGCCATGCCTCAGCCCCGTCAAAGCAGGATGTACCTTGGCTGGGTTATCCCAGTCTGGCACCTCCTCCTCAGTCTTTGCAAGTTCAGAAACTCAGGCTATCTTTTCCCAGTAACTGATTGGAACCCGGGAGACTGCCTCATACCAAACTTACAAGACTCAGCAATAAACTGGAATGCCATTTTCTTGCCCTTCACAATTGGAAATGAAGCTGACATCAGAATCCATCTTCCATACACAACCACCCTGTAGAAAATGTCATTCAAGAGACCAATCAATCAATCAGGTGACCTAGTGAGCTCTGATCCCCAAGTCATTGGGAAATACGTATGTGGGCAATCTTATTAGAGTAGATTAGAAGACTATTTAGTGTTGTAGCTTTATAGTTTGTGAGTCATTGCTACCTTTAGTCTCCAAATTCTTAAAACACTTTACTCTTAGACCTGGCTGGTATAGCTCAGTGGATTGAGCACGGGCCTGTGAACCAAAGGATTGCAGTTCGATTCCCAGTCAGGGCACATGCCTGGGTTGCAGGCCAGTTCCCAGCAGGGGATGCACGAGAGGCAACCATACATTGATATTTCTCTCCCTCTCTCCTTCCCTTCCCCTCTAAAGATACATAAATAAAATCTTAAAAAAAAAAACTTCACTCTTGCCCTCCCTTATAGAAATTTGAGATGCAGGTATGGGAATCAGTCCCGCATCAAGGTAGTAAGATGCCAAAGAATTCAATATGGAGAGATGTCTGTAAATAGAACCTTTGGAAACAAATACATTTAAGAAAGAGGGAGGAGGCAGAGATTCCACATAAGAAATGTTCTAACTGAAGGGGAAAGACAGGGTGCAATATCACAGAAGCCAAGAAAAGGACAGAGAAATGGTCCACTGTGAAATGTGACAGAAGAGGTCCCGCCAGAGCACGGAAATGGCATCAAGGGCCGCCCCCTAGCTGGGAAAGAGGAGTGGACTCGGAATTGCCTGGGCAGTGGGGCAGGACTGCGCGTGTGGCTGCCTAGGGCGCCCCAGAGGCTTTGTAGGGTCGCGCCGTGCGCGGCTCCGGGGACTGGTGGTCCTTACGCGGCTGGGCATTGCGCGGATGGCCCTGCTTCGGTGTCCCGCACTGGCTTTCCTCCTCCTGGCCCACACTGCGGAGGTCAGGTGCCAGGAAGAGGCTCAGACCACCGACTGGAGGGCCACCCTAAAGACTATAGGGAACTGCGTTCACAAGATCGGTATGTACCTAAATGCCGCCTTGGACCTCCTGGGAGGCAGGGATAGTCTCTGTCAGTATAAGCGCAGTAATGGATTTAAGCTTTTCCCACGTTATGGTTTTAAACCCTCCCCACCGAATGGATATGGCTCTCCACTATTTGGTGTTCATCTTAGTATCAGCATCCCTTCCCTGACAAAGTGCTGCAACCACCACGACAGGTGCTATGAGACCTGCGGCAAGAGCAAGAACGTCTGTGATGAGTTCCAGTACTGCCTCTCCAAGATCTTCCGGGAGGTGCAGAAAACTCTAGGACTCACTCATCGTGTCCAGGCCCGTGAAACAGCAGTGGAGCTCTTGTTTGACAGTGTTATACATTTAGGCTGTAAACCGTACCTGGACAGCCAACAAGCCACTGTCGGTGTCGCAATGAAGAAAAAACCGATCTTTAAAGAAGATGCTGACAGGTGGTGCCAATGAGGATGAAAGAACATAACCTTTGGCAAAGAACTAATGGTTTTTATAGCATGAAACTGCCTAATTCTTATTTTAAGACATAATTTTGACATTAAAACTTCAAACTAAAAAAAAAAAATGTGACAGAAGACTAGAAAATGAGAACATTGTCCGAGTGGAAAATTCCACTTGTGTGATCTTTGAGAACAGTTTAACAGAGTAGTGAAAATACATGTCTGTGTGACTACTAAGTTATCTCTAACCAGGCAATTCCTCAGAGTTGTTTGTAGCACAAAACACTAACACCTCAATCAACAGGTCTTTGTTAAACAAATACCTTGCAGCAGGCATGGCAGAAGTCATCAGGGGTTAATGCAGTGCAAAGAGCACCAGTGGGGGAGTCCAGGGCCGCAGGCTGCAGACTGCTGAGTCCATACAACTGTAGGCAGCCCCCTCCCTCTCTGGTTGAACCAGTTTCTCCATATGTGAGAGTGAGACTAAAGGACCTCAAACACCCTCAACTGGCTCTAATATTTTCCAGCCTCAAGCTTTTGCATTTACAGTTTCCTGTGCCTAAATATCTCTTCTCTCAGCTATTTGCATGGCTTACTCCCTTACCTCCTTCTCAGCTTTGCCAAAATGTCAAATTATCACCTTCTTGTTAAGACCTTCCCCGACTAATCTATTTAAGCACCTACCCCCACCTTCCCTGCTTTTATATCCCTCCATAACACTAACCACTGTTTTACATATCGGTTTATTATCAATCCCCACCATCGATTTTCCCCACTAGACTTTAAGCTTCACAAAAGCAGACCTTTGTTTTGTCCACTGTTCAGTAGTGTGCCTGGTACAAAGTGAGCACTCACACGTCTACGCAGGAATGAAAGAAATGCCAGCTGCAATCTCCAAAGAACAAAGGCCACATTGAAGAAAAACTTCCCCAGAAGGCTGAATATTACTAGCATATCAAACAAGACAGTGAATTGAGGCCAATGCTATTTAAAAGCCACCATTTTAATGAGAATTTCACCTCTGCAGGACTCCCTCCTCTCAGAACACTCCTCTCATTTTGAAAGTCAGTATTTTTTAATACCCCCAAATTGATACCTACACTCCAGCTGTAGCTGTCCTCCTCCTTCCTCAGCCTCAGAGTTCCAACTCTAGAGGACAGAGCATTGTGTGGACAGAGGGTAAAGACTTGTAAAAAAGTGGTAGTGACATTCCTCATGGTCTGCTTCTGGATCTCTTCCCAAGCTGATTTACAACCTCCACAACAAGGTCAAATAACACAATAGACTTGCACTTGCATCACAAACTGTTTAAAGAGTGTGCCAACATCTCTGATTCAGAGTAGGTGCCCTCCCCAAATGAGCAAGGCCTGGTGGGGTGGACACTCACAGCCTTCTCAAACAGTAACAAATAACCCCGTGCTCTGAGTGGTGTAGGAGGCTGGCCAAGAGACCATCCACTGCTACCGCTGTGGGACCAGGCTTGTCTCATAGCCCTCGGTCCTCATGTCATTGAGCCCCAGCTCCTCATTTTGTTCAAACGTGCGCTCATAATATTCCACCTTCATCTCGGGATCATCTTCAGGTGCATATACGTTCTGTAAGGCAAAGGAGAGATGACCAGTGCCTGTGCCACCATCTTCCCCCTGACCCCCCGCCCAAGCAACTTCCAATTCCCACTTTCTCAAGAACTCAATGAGTTTTTTTTTACTCTAAGCACCACCAATTCCCTTGACTAGGCTCGACCAGTGGGAAGCACAGAGCTCACATGGGTCAGAAGTTGAACCAACCAACCCCAAGCAGAATTAGGAACTGGTCCGCCTAAACTTTCTATCTGCACCTTCTTTTTTTTTTTTGAGGAAGGGTTTGCTCTTGTTTATTGGTGGATGGCTCACTGACTCGGTCTTCCAGAATATTGTCTTGTACTTTTAGAGGAAATGTTTTAGAACAGTGCATGAGATATTAAAAAAAAAATTTTTTCAACAATTTGCTTTATTGTTTAAATTAATTACACTAGATAGAATATGACAAAGGCTGTATCTAAACTTTGTTGATTTTTCTGAAAGGGGAAATAATCAGAGCAGTATCACCCCATTTGCTGTATCAGATTCTTTTGCAAACAGACTTTTAATGCTAGAATATATTAGACCCACTGTGATTTTTTGTTGTTGTTGATCTTTTTTTAAATATATTTTATGTCATTACAGCTGTTCTATTCCCCCCTTCATTCCCCTCCACCCTGCACACCCCTCACCCACCATTCCCCCCCTTTAGTTTATGACAATGTGTCTCAAGTTCTTCAGATTCTATATTTCCCCTACTATTCTTGCCCTCCCCCTGTCTATTTTCTACCTACCATCTATGCTACTTATTTTCTGTACCTTCTCCCCCCTTCTCCTTCTCCCACTCCCCTGTTGCTAACCTTCCATGTGATCTTCATTTCTATGGTTCTGCTCCTGATCTAGCTGTCCTCTTAGTTTGCTTTTGTTTTAGGTGTGGTTCTTAATAACTGAGTTTGATGTCCTTTCACTGTTCATCTTTTTTATCTTCTTTTTCTTAGGTAAGTCCCTTTAACCTTTCATATAATAAGGGCTTGGTGATGATGAACTCCTTGAATTTGACCTTATCTGAAGCACTTTATCTGTCCTTCCATTCTAAATTAAAGTTTTGCTGGATAGAGCAATGTTGGTTGTAGGCCTTTGGATTTCATGACTTGGAATACCTCTTTCCAGCCCCTTCTTGCCTGGAAGGTCTCTTTTGAGAAATCCACTGACAGTCTGATGGGAACTCCTTTGTAGGTGACTATCCCCTTATCTCTTGCAGCTTCTAGGATTCTCTCCTTCATTTTAATGTTGGCTAATGTAATTATGATGTGCCTTGGTGGGTTCCTCCTTGGGTCCATCTTCTTTGGGACTCTCTGAGCTTCCTGGACTTCCTGGAAGTCTATTTCCTTTGCCAGATTGGGGAAGTTCTCCTTTATTATTTGTTCAGATAAGTGTTCCACTGTGGCTGTTCCTCTTCCCCTGCTGGTACCCCTGTAATTTAGATGTTGGGACGTTTAAAGTTGTCCTGAAGGTTCCTACGCCTCTCCTCATTTTTTTTGAGTTCTTGTTTCCTCATCCTTTTCTGTTTGGTCATTTTTTCCCTCCTTCTGGTCCACTCCTTTGATTTGAGTCTCAGTCTCCTTTTCATTACTATTGGTTTCCTGTGTATTTCCATTCATTTTAGTTAGTTTAGCCTTCATATGTTCCTCTAATTTGTGACTAAAATCAACCAGTTCTGTGAGCATCCTGATCACCAGTGTTTTAAACTGTGCATCTGAAACTTTGGCTATTTCTTCATCACTTAGAGTTATCGGCTCTGGGGCTCTGAGTTGTTCTTGAGCCATGTTTTGCTCTTTTCGTGCCTATTATGTACGAGGAGCGGAGCCTTAAGTGTTCACGAGAGTAGGGCCGCCCAGGTCACTGTTTTATGATGCTGTATGTGGGGGTGTGATCAGAGAAGGGCCACTCAGGTCACTGGTTTGTGATGCTGTATGTGGGGGCGGGTCAGAGAGGGACAATGGCAGTCCCCTCTGCTGCTTCCTGCCACTGGGACCTGTGCGGTTGGTCTCACTGCTTGCTCCTTCGCTGGTTTATCTTCACTCGAATGTGTGACCAGGGTCAGCCCTCAGTGGGTCTGCCGCCTTGCGCCCTTCTCCACGCCTGGGATCCGCCCACAGCTGCTGGCGCACCTGGGTCGAGTGCCCAGGTCAGTCCAGTGGATCTTTCCTGCTCAACCCCACTCTGCTGCTGGCTCTGCCCCTCTTACCGGTTTGGCTGAAGGATTCATTGCTGTCAGACTTCCATGTAGTTCAATTTTCTGTGGTTTGGCTGCATTTTTATTACTAAAACTTTGTTGTTTTTAAACTTAATTGTGGGAGAAGGTGCAGCGCTTACACCTACGCCTCCATCTTGGTGGAAATCCCCTGCACCTTCTTACAAAGAGTACAGTAACAGTCTCAGTCATGGACAGACCTTAGAACAGTTTTGCCTGACCCCAAATAACTGCTCAATAAATGTTAACATTATCAATCACCAGAGTATCTCCCCAGTTAGCTTAAAGCCTTTCAATTTTCCTATCTTGGACTCTGGACAAGGCATCATTTCTCCTCACTTCGCAATCAGATATGCAGAATAAAACCTCCATTGCTGAACTTATAGGTGGGGACAAGAACTACACTACAGGAAGAAGGAGCCTAGGAGTATCCTTTTTCTCTCTTGTTATACACTTACGATCCCTCCCACCTTCCCTCCTTTCTCCCTCATGTTCTACTTCTGCTAAGTTCTTTCATACAGAGCAGTACATTTGGAACCAAGTCTCTGTTTCTAAAGAAATGGTATATATTGAAGAAAAGTGAGAAAATATATTTCCATGAAATAATCAGGGAAGGTCCACTGTACCTGCAAGTAGCTGTTTCCTGCTGGATCATTCATAATAAAGTGGGCCTTCATTTTACCCTCAATGATCTGAAAGAGAATACAGTATGTAAATTTTACATAGTAGGAAGACGCTATGTCTGCCAGATGAGAAATCAAGCCAATTTACACTGCAGTGTGCCCAAGTTTCATGAACTGGTAAGAAGAATCTAAAATAAAAACTCTTTGAAATTATTTAAGAAAAAATTTTACATCTCCAATTTTATCTCCCGCTCCAAACAGGCAATCAATTGCCCTTCCTCTATCCCAGCAGGAGACTGAAGGATTCTGTGACATTACCACAACACACTAAGGATCAGGGCCACTGGCCCCAGTTGAGGATAGAGGGAAAGGAATCAAGACAGGAGAGGAAATGAATGTATCCTATTGGACATACACACACACACACACACACGCACACACGCACCAGTCCTCTTCCCACACTCAGCTCTGAGGACACTGTCAGGTAATCTGTCCTCCTCAGACCAGGAAATGGAGCAGCACGGATGGGAACCTGACTAGCCTAAAAAGAAAGACCTAACAACTCTTGCACTGGGGCCACCTCAACAACATGGCCAAGCTAATGAGCCCTGCAATGAGCCCAATGCCAGCAAGATTCACACCCAGTCAGGTTTTTTAGTTGTCTACTTTTAAACAGATGATCAATGATTATTAGAAATCTGAGCAAAGCCCCTAACACAGAAATACAGAAAATTACGTGGGGGGGGGGGGGAGAACTTAGAGGGAATGGAAACAGTGCAAGGAAAATAAAGTGCCAAAAACCAAAATATTAATATTCTCAAAAAAAAGAAATACTACATCTTTATAACAACAGGATGCTATTTTTTAAGAAAGGCAGAGGGAGAGTATTCAAAGACCAAAAAAACTCTTGGAAAATAAAAGTATGTTAGTGGAAATGAAAACTTCAATTGAAGGGTTGGAAAATAAAGCTGAGGTAATCTCCTAAAGTAGAACAAACACAAAGAAACTAAACCAGACAAATAATAAGTCAATTACAGAAGACCAGAAAGTTATTCTAATATTCCAAAACCCAGGGTCTTCAGAGAGAACAGAAAGGAAGCAATTCTCAATAGAATAATTTTTAAAAGCTTCCTGCAACTGAGCCACATGAGTTCCCAGATTCAAAAGACCCACAAAGTACCTAGCACAGTTGCTGAAAACTGACCTCACACCAAAGCACATCCTGAAATTTCACATCACAGTGGGCAAAGAGGTATCACAAGAATAGGTCACATACAAAAGATTAGGAATCAAAATGCCTTAAGACTTTGTGATAGCCAAACTGGAACATGGAAGACAATGTCTTTGATTCTGTTGAAAAATTATTTTCATCCTAGAATTCTATTCTCAGCCATTAATCAATCTCTTATGAGGGTAGAATAAAGAAAATTCCAGACATATAAGGCCTCAGAAATCTTACTTTCCATGCATTGACTCGGGAAGCTACTGGAGAAGAGGCTCCAACAATATAAGGGAAGAAACTGAGAAGGAAGGTGACATAGGACATAGGAAACCAGGAGAATCCCAACATGACAGTTCAGTGTTTAAAAGGAACAAGAAAGGGCATGTAGCTCTTATTCACTGGAGCCCCAGGACCACCCAAGCACTGACCAGCCAAAGTCCCCTTACCTGGTCCACCCTCTGGCTAAACTCCTGCAGTTTGTTCATCTGGCCAGGACTGGAACTGTCACCCAGTGTGAAAGGGTTCTTGGTCACCTGAAACAAATGTCATCCAAACTGCTAGTATATTGGCTCTATGTTTGATAGGTTTGACCATAAACCTGACGGGGGTGGAAGTGAAGCCAACTTCTGGCTAAACTGCAGTTTCTCCATCAGGGAAGCCTGATCTTCATTTATCCCATATAACCTTTCTGACCTAGGCAGCCACTCCTAAGGGCATATGGATTAATCTGCCAAGACAACTAGCAATATGAAACAAACTATAAAAATGCTCTTACAATATGAGCAATAGTCCTAATTTGAAGAAGAAATGTGGAGTACAATTTACAAAGACATAATGCCTAATGATTGAGACTTAAGTGAAATGATTCATCAGGAGAATAAATGTATGGGCTAAGTCAACACACATAAATGTATGTTGGGGAGTTCTAAGCACTGAAAGGATCCTTCTCTCTCACTTTATAGTGAAAATGAAAACCACACAATATCTCTACATTGTGTCAGAGTCAAGGCCTGGGAATCTCTACTCCGAATTTCCCATAAAATTATCTTCATAATCCAAAATAATATTTAAGTCTCTTAAATCAGTGTTAAGGCAAAGAAACCCCACTAACAGCCCCCAAAACTAGGGTGAGGCCTGCTTGCCCTTCCCCATAACCGCACTGCTAAAGCAGCCACGCACTACGCTCACCAGTTCCCGGACGTCTTTCAGCAGCCCTTCCAGTGTGGTGAATTTGCCTCCGAGAACAGCCATTCCCAGTTCAAATTCCAGTTCTGGGATTTCCACACTACATGTCTCAGACTGTGAGATGGAAGGTCAACTTAAGTTTTAAATCAGGAGCTACTAGAGAAAGCTAACCAGAGTCCTCCTGCCAAAGTAGTATTACCAGTGACAATTTGGGGGCAAAGTCAACCACCCCAATTTTCTAAGTTGCTAGTTAAAGCTAGACTCACTCCTATTCATGAGAACCATAGGAATGGAACCAAGCTAATAGAGAGACCCTTGAGTCATGGCTCCAAGCTATCAGGTAGCCTAACATCAGAGGCCAGAGCCAAGAGCCCTTACAGACACTTCGGGTAAAAAGCTGCCAAGTTCATCAGAAAGAGTTTATGGGTTGCCTTCTGAATCTGTACTTTCTGCCATGGATGACCTCTGCTCAAGAAGCCTCAAACCCAAGGGAAGTACCACATCATCCCAGGACAAAATTTAAAAAGATAATTTCCCCTACAGACAAGTCACATGAGGAAGACAGTCATGTTCCCAAGAAAGTCGTTACCTTGAGCAGGTCTCTGGTCATATCTGAGGGGTCTGTGATATGAAGATTGATCCTGGTGCCCAAGGGCTCTACTGCCCCACCAGACTTCACCTGCACAAACAACAGTCACCAGGAGTAGCACAGATGACCCCAATCCTCACTTAGTGCCCAGGAGACCTCAGAGGGTAGGCCTGAACCTCTCATCAGGCCCACGAGTGACTACCATGCACTGAGGCCTTCTAAATCAATAGTAGCAGCAGTCACCCAAATCAAAAACACCAAGAGCTGGCCAGCAGCAAAGTGCCCAATGCCAACAGCCTGCCCGAACTTCCCCCAAGTTGGCAAGGAACTCTGAATTTACCTTTTAAAAAAATGATTATTGGGACTAAAAGGGATTTTCAACTGCATGCAACACATGGATCCCCTTTATAATATTCTGGTTTAAGAATTTAACAGTTTATGCTTGAATACACTCAGGGAAAGGGAATTTACAACCCTCCAAGGCAGCCCAGTTTATTTTGAAAGACTTAAAAATATTACTGAGTCAAAATCTGCCTCCCACACTTTGATCCCTTTGAGGGGTGAATCAAAAAGTGGGTCTCCCTATTCCTTAAAACCAAACTTTAAAATGTATTAAACAAGTTAGGACACCTAACTTTTCTTCTCTAAGCCAATTCCCTGTTTCTTTAATGGCTCCTCACCTACACTACACCTAAGAGAAAGACCCAACCCTCATGTTGCCCCCTCGTCCCAAAGCGGATTTAGGGAGGATGAGAGGCACAGAAGATACCCTCAAGCTAGTCTTCCCAAACAATGGAAGCCACTCACCTCATTGGTCCGATGGCCACAGTACTCGCAGTTGGTAGCCATGATGATAACCTCCTTAAAGTGGGGGATTTCTAGAAGATGGAGTTAAGGGAATCTGCTTCTATGATAGCCATGATAGCAGGACTACCCTCTGGAGAAGAACAAATCCAAAACCCAAACACAATTGCTGGTTCCAGGACTGCAGGAAATAAATCACAAGAAGCCACCTAACTTAATCCTCCAGAAAAGGGCAAGGTCGCCCATGGTATTCCCTGTTCCTAAGTGTTGGCAGACATGGCCCAGTCCACACACAGAAGCCTAGAGACAACAGCCTATTTCTCCCTGTAAACCCAAAGCCAAGGTGCAGTCTCATCAAAGGCTTATCACTCAGAAAACCTGTTTTCCATGAAGTGAGTAGTGCTCTCCAGCCCTAAGATAATCTTTACACCTGAGTCAGATGAGAAGCAACCCAACTGCCTGACAAAAGATACGAACTAGCTTCATGTTGGTCTGAGCTGGAGCATTGCATTCTGGGCAGTTTGTGTTGAACTGTAGCACCTGGAACATAACATGGGGATGAGGGAGTGAGCCCTCCCAGTCTAAAGACATTCAGTTGGTATGCTGGTGGTCGCTCGTGTTGGTGGAGAGGAAGAGAGCCACCGAATAGCATCAGTTTCAGCCCACAACTCTGCTCCTTCCTCCACAGCAGCCAATGTGACTCACTTCATTTCTGAGATCTTCCTCTTCTGGCTTCTCTTCTGGTGTCTCTGCCTGAAGTAGGAGATGCAAATCACATTTTGGCACATATTATCTCAGCCTCCCAACACCCTGCCCTGGAGTGACGGAAAATGCCGTGACTTGCTTCTGTCAGCTGCCATCTCATGAGTTTAACAGAGAAGCCAGAAAACCCCAATCAAGGGAAGAACAGAGCTTAAGATAAGATCGCAGCCAATGCCATCCTTTATTGTAACATTTATCCTAAATCCTCGCCATGAGCTAGATAAAAAACACAACGTGCTGATATACTGTACACAGCGCAGCAGCAGTAAAATGAGTTTCCCCTTGCTCCTCCTCTTCTGGCCTTTTCAGTCCACTCACCTGGAGCCCCAGCATCTCTTCCTGCTGTGGAGTCCGGTTATAATGTGTGATCACCAGGGCATCATCTTTCTGGGGAGCGTGTGGGTTTTCCACAAAGCTGTTCCCTGAGGGATCATCAATGATCTAACAGATAGATGAAGAGTAATCACAAGTCATGTATAGTCCTCCACCTACCATCAGACCACTCAGGCGCCATAGTGGAAAAATCCTAGTCTAAATGGTTTCTCCTCCCCTAAATCTAGGGCCCCTAGACTCCCTATTTAGGAGTCACACTTACCAGCGTGAAAGGAGAGGCCCCATGCTTTAGCTCTTTTAGTTTGACAATGAACTCATCAATTCTTTCAGCTATGGCTTCTTTGTTTGTCTAACATAAACAGAAAGTAAAAGCATCAGCCCTCGTGACAGACCATATGTCTCCACTCCCTGTCAGGCCCTCTATCATCACCGTGCCATAAGTGGGAACAGAGAGACTCAGACTTCACAATAAAATGTGGCATACAGTTTGAAGTTCATGGGTGGTGCCAGGTGAGCCTCATTTTCTCACTCTTTCACCATTTAGCCCAGGTACTCATGCCAGGTTAAATATCAGCATCCCCTCATGGGGCTCCCCAGCCACTTAGGAAGACAGATGACTAAATACGCAATTACATTATTTTTGTCTAAGTACAACACAGTGTCTGGCACAAATAATGCCCCTTTTAAATTACAAAATCGTAAGCAAGTAATTCTGTAACATAACAATATTACCCTCAAGCACACAAGGACATTTTAGGTGAAACGTTCAAATTGCTGTCCATCTCATGCAAGACATTCAAGCACCCTACCAACCACACAAGCAAGCCTTACTTCTTCCGGACCCTATAGATATTGGAACACTCAGAAAGCAGATAAACCCAAAGGGGATTAGGAAAGGCTCTTCAGAAGTAATGTTACATTGCATGTTGGAAATGAGGTCTGATAATACATTGGTGAAAGAGAACTAGAAAGAACACAGGCTGTTCCACATGCAACATCCTGGAAGTTATAATATCACCGTATGCTTCCCCTAAAAGTCCTCCAACATTCAGTCAAAGACAATTTTACATAGAAAGCTAAACTTACTATATGTGTCCATTCAGACACAAATAAGTAATTATTCCTTGAGCTGCTGCAATCACAATATCCCAGCTTACCCTTCGAGTGGGCTGATCCTGCTCCAGGCCAGAGATAGCACGGCTGATCAGTCCCTCAACAGTGGTCAGAGCTGGTGAATAAGAACAAGAGACAGGTAAATCTAGGCTCTGCTATCAGGTGCCTGTATGACCCTGGGTGATTCACTTGAACTACCACTATTTTGCCATGTGCTCCCATGTAAAATACATACCCATGTTTTGGGTCCAAACTTTCAGGAAAAAAAATCTTTTAATTTTTAAATTCAACTTTGTTTATTTATATTTAGAAACAAAATCAATTATTGTATTCCAGGGTACTGTCTTGCATATGGATATCATTATTGCTTTCTAGAGTTAACACCTAACACCTAAATACAAGTAAAAGGATTTAAAACACTTATATAGACATGGAATTCATTCTACCCATGTATAATGCACATCCTTATTTTCCCTCAAAATTGTGGGCAAAAAGGGTGCACATTACACACAGCAAAATACGGTACTTGGGCCTTGCATTCATCTGTAAAATGAGGCTGCACACAAGGTTCCATTCAGCTCTAATAAAGTGATGATAAAACTACGATTAAGAACCTGAATCTTATATCACTATCCACTCTCCCAAGCTGTTTTATCTAAGTTTTCTGCTATTGTTAAAACAATGAAAATCACAATGATTACATGGCCAAACCCATACACAGGCACTAGTCCTGGCCCCAAGGATTTTACAAGAAAGTGAGTAAGACTCCAGCTAGGCATAAAAAGCCCAAATACCCTGATCTTAAACTTACCTCCCTTCTGGCTGAAGGCAGGAATTTCAAAATCTAACTCTGGGATCCTTGTGGTAGCAGAGTCAGTCTTTACCACTTCTCTGTTCATGTCCTGGGCAGAAAGAAAAACTTGCAGTCCAGAGAGGTTAGCAGTACAGCTTCTAGACTGCCCCCCTCCATCACACCCCAGCCCAGCTCTTTCTTCCTCTCTTCTCTTAAGGGCCCAGGCTACCCCTGCAGAACAGTGCCTGTGATGTGAGCAAAGCTGCCCAAATGGTAAGAGTACTCGAAATTCCTATCAGCTACTACTCATTTGATACCCCTCACAGAATTTAAAAAGCTCTTCCACAAGTCTCACCTGATCAGTTGACAGCACCCAAACCATTTTATTAAGGAGAAAATGAGGCCTGGACACTTGGGGGCATTTATCCCAAGTCCAACCACCTGAACCCGAGCTCTGGCTCCAACCCCCAAGCCTTCTCTAGGACAGTAAGGTACCTGCTCTGGACTCCTCTCACCTCCGGGGCCCTGACAGTCAAAGTGTAGCGTATTCCCTGGTCCTGGATCCTGCCTGCCGACTGGATCTCCGTGTTGTTCCAGCCACAGTGCTCGCAGGAAAAGGAGCTGACGATTATTTCTCTGAAGAAAGGAATCTTGGTGAGCAGGAGGCGCGTCATGCCCTGGGGAAGCAGAAAGCTAAATAAAGTACCAATAAAACCTAGTTCTCCGCCTAAGGGTCCCCAGGGTGCCTCAACTCCGGGTCCCCAACCAGGCCCACTAAGGGAGGTCGCCAACCCCCACTTCTCACCTCTTCGGCCCAAGCCTACCCCACCGCGCGGCCGCGCCCCCATCTCACATTGCGGTAACAGTTCATGCACAGCGACTCAATCTCGGTGGGCTGCTGCTCCTCGTCCTCGGCGCTGATAGGCCGGAACAGGCGTCCCGGGACCGGAGCCCGGGCCGGGGTAGGCGAAGGGGTGGCAGCAACCGCTGGGAGACCGGTCTCCACAGCCCCACTGGCCGACATGACCACCACGCTGAGTTTAATCCGCCAGTTCCGGCTTCCTCTCCTCTGGTGGCCACACCCCTTCCTCTAGCACTTCCGCCTGCTGCTACACTCCCCTCCCCCCCCTTCCTTAAAGAGGCCGCAGGCTGTGGACCCTTAACAGAGCAAAGTTTCTAGAGATCCTAAGTTCCACAGCCGGATTCAGGTTTTGCCTCCATCTCAATTCAGGCGTCACTCCCCCGAAGACGTCCTCCCAGACCCAGGGCAGTGCTTTGCTCTTTCGCAATATCTCCAAAGCACAGGGTTCCAAGTATTGCCCATAAGTCTGATTACAAGACCCTTGACATCAAGAGGCTACGTTTGCCCATCGGTATCTCTGCGTTTGCCCATCGCTCTCACCTGGGCTTCCTTTCTTCCACTTTGGGACCAGACTCTGCTTCCACTCTAGTCTTTCAGTCTCTCAATCATGTTCTCCCTTTCTGTTTTTCCCACTCCCTATTTCTATCCTCAAAAACACCTGCCCAAATTCCATCCTCAAGTACACAACCCTCAGTTTTACTCACACCCCTTCATCCCCATCACCTCTAATCCCAGCTGACCCACACCTCTCAGCTTCCTAACAATAAAAACACCTTTTTTTTGGGGGGGGGGAGTGTTTTCCTTTCCAGCACCTCCTCTCCCTGGGTACTTCTCTCTCAGTTCTGTTGCTAAATGTAGAGTGTCAGGGTAGATATTCAGCCTGGGGGTATGATAAAGCCAGATTCACATGGGTTCTGTGTTATGAGGAAGTGTGGAGGTGCTGAGAACCCTGTGCAGGATGGACTGAGCTGGGAGGAAAGGGTGCTGGACAAGACATTAGAAGAGTGATGGAGATGATGTGCTTACCCTTTCCACTCTCTCACCCCCAGTTTAGAGTTCCCAGATGATCCATAAGGAGCTTCATTGCTTCTAAGTGAATCTGTATGTGGGGACTGCGGAGTTTAAGAGTTTGGAAGTACTAAAAAGAGGGTCAGTGTCATAAAAAGGGACCATTCAAAATCTGGAACAGCAAGAGCAAAAGGGAGAGGCCACCTCTGGAGCCAGCACTTCATGCACACCATCCAGTGGTGAGCAGGCATTACAGTGAGGGACTGGGGTGTCTGATGGTCATGATTTGGGGATAGTGGTAAGGGCACTGCTTTCAGATATGGTTCAAATGAGTGTCACACCAGGCAAATAAGCTTCTATTACAAGCCCTGTTTCATTTGAGTCAGAAGTCTGGACTTCAGTCTGAGAGTCAGGAGGGAGGGGCCAGGGAGGGGCACAGAGTATGCTCCCCAGAGAGTTTAAGAAGCCTCCACAGTTTGGAGGGCTTTGGTAGGCTGTTTAAATGTAGAGCTGTGTAAGAAATACGGGCTCTGCTCCCTCCCATTAAAACTCCTACCATTTGTACCCTTCAGCTTCAGGCCTGCAGGATTATACGCACACATAATCACATGCACTCCTCATCACATTTCCTTCCTTTCTCCCTTTTCTCCCCCAACAGAAGCTGTCACAGCAGCCCTGGAGAGAAAAGAGCAGCTTTCTGGGGACCGCCTAGTAGTGGCCACCAGGGGGCCAAAAGTGATCACTGTCAAGCCCTGACATGAAGAAGCACAGGGTTGCACATAATTACCCACTCATGGTGTGCCTTTCTTCCTCCCTAATTCCACCTTCACAGAATGGAGTAATTCATGAAGCTTTCCAAATGAGCACGGGAAGCCGGCTTGCAAATCCTGGTGAGTGTAATGCACTCAGATTGGGGAGTCGCAGAAGGCTAGCCATGCGGGGACAACAGCCCCTTCAGTGGCCTCACCTACACTGTGCAGGGCCCTCTACCCTCTGTCCAACAGGCCACTAGCAAGGACTGAACCATGCTTGGGGCTCAGGTCCTGGGCTCTCCAAATAAGGAGCTGGGAAGTGGGCCTCGGCATACAGACCCTCATGGTTCCCCTAGATGACGGAGATCATGGTCATGAAGGCTGTAGTTTATGTCTTCCCATAGGTCATCTAGACGGGCTTGCAGCTTGCTCCGGGCCTTACTGCTGTCAGCTTTGAGGAACTCGGGGGCAAAGGTGCTGTGACCATGTAGGGGGTGGCTCCAACTGCTGCTGGACCTCCTCCGTCTCCTGGTCAATCGCACAGGTGAAGGCAATGATCTGTTGGAAGGTGTCGTGGCGGAAAGCCTGGAGTTGCTGGTGCACCTTCTAGGACAGCACCTGGGCATCCAGGTTGGTCCCTTCCTCCATGCTGCTCACTCTGGCGCGGGCAAAGGCGCTGAGCTCTTCGCGCAGATGGTCCCAGTTATGTTAAATGCGTTCGTTCGTGCAGGGCCTTGGCCTTGAGCGTGAGATTGCGTGAAAGCACGTGCACACAGCGGCTAAGGCGCGCCGGGCTGGCAGCGGCATGTGTGGCCTTGCTGTGTTGCAGCTCTGGCACGTGGTGCTGGATGCCAGTCACCAGACGATCGCATATGGGTGTAACAATGCCTTGGTGCGGCCAGTGTGGTGCACTACACGATTCTGCAGTTCCCCAACCAGGCCCTGCACCTCATCCACACCCCCCAGCAGCTGGGCCTTGGTATCCTCTCTGACCATGTGCAACTGCTCCTGCAGCTCCTGTACCCGCAGGGTCACCTGCTCCATTAGGTCTGTGGTGTAGGGCTTCAGCTTCTGCCGCAGAGCCTCCAGGTTCCAGCCTACATGCTGGTGCACCTCAGCCATGTAGGGCTCCAGGAATGCTCTCACCTTCTCCAGCTTCTCCTGCAGCTGCTGCCGGATTCCCTCCAGGTTGGATGGAATCCTGGGAGGCTCCTTCCCCTGCGCACTCAGAGGACCTAGCTTTTCCAGGAACTTGTCCATATTGTTGAGGTCTCGCTCAAGACTGTCTTTCGGGCTTCTGAGAAAGAGGTCAGAAATCCAGGCTGTCAGACTGCTAGCCCCCATCATCTGCTTTGCCCCCCAAAGACATCACTCACTGATTATCTGTGGAAACCAAGGATGTAGGGAGATGATACCAGAGGATGCTAGTCCTAGCCTCGGCCCAACTGCACGACCTCAAACAGTAAGGAAAACATGGCACATGCAAGTCCAGACCAACACAGTCCAAGGAAGGACATATGCACCTGGAGTGTCCTACAATTTTTTTATTCTAGGGGACAGGGTAAAGGGTCTTCTCCACTGCTCCCAGATCCCACACCTCAAGACGAACAGCTGAAGCGAGGTCAAAGCAGGTTGTGGGGATACTGCCGGCAGAGGGCGCAGCACGGCCCTGGAAAGCCAGGAAAGCAGCAGAAACGACACAGATTGATTCCTCTGCCCCAGTGCAGACAGTGGGGAGTGGGGAGTGAGGAGTCAGAGGCAGAGCAACACCCCACAGCATGCGAGCCTCCTCTTTTCGCCTGCACCTCTCGCCCTGGCCACTCACACGTGCTCCCGTGCCAGCTTCTGCTGCTGGGCCTGCTCCACCCTGCCTTTGTCCCCAGTGCTCTGGCTGTAGGCATCCCAGAAGCCTTTCCATGCCTGGGCCAACGAGAGTGCTGCGGAAAGGGACGGGGTGATTAGGGGCTTGGGTCCTCCATCAGGGTAGGCTGCCCACTCAGTCCAGCCTCTACCCTCACCTCCACATTGAAGTCAAGAGTTGGAGACCCACCTGAGAGGAGCACCAGAGCCCTAGTCAGAATCGCAGCCGTGCCTGCTATCATCTACTCTAAGAAGGAAGGTGAATGGAGGCCTGGGTCAGATGAAGAAGCAAAAGAGACTTGACCCAGGGGACCCTGCTCCAGGGACAACCTACTCAAAATCTGTGAACACTTCATTGGGGTGTAGGGAGCACAGCACTGTTGGGGCTCAAGAGGACTGACCTGGGTGAGTGTGGCTGTGAAGAAAAAGGCATCTTTGTGGGATGGGGAGGGCTCCTTTTTCACCTCAGTCGCATTACATGGAGTGTGGAGCTCAAACTACTTTGTAAAGGTTCCCCCACCATCACCCTCCCCGACCCCAATAGAGCCTTGGTATCCTCTCTGACCTAGGAGAGGTCAGAGCTCCCTAGGCCACATCTACCCCCAAACCCTTTTTCCTCTATCTTCCTGCCTCCCATTTCATGGCTGGGAAAACTGAGATTCCCCCGAGGGGGAAGAAGCAACTCAGCCAAAATGCTCCATGAGGATGCTCTGAGCTCCCACCGCCTCTCCCTGCTGAGACCCCTGCCGTTCCTGACCATAGGACTCCCTCTGTCCCAGCAGCTCACCTGCTCAGTCTGGGCACAGAGAGCAGGCATTTCACTTTATACTACAGGGGCCTGGGCCTCTGGCAACAAGTGCTTTGAGTAAATACCAGGTGGTGCTTCAAAGAAGAATGACCTCAGCTGCTTCCCAGTGCGCAACTCCTGCCCTTTCCTGGCACCCATGGGGTTAATGAGTGCCTTCCTATCAGGGGGCTGTCGCAGCAGAAAAGGGCTTCCTATTAGGGGGTGGGGCTAAACTCCTCACCCAGTTCACCCCAAACCCTATGACCGTCAACCTTCACACTCACCTGATAGCTGGCCCACCAGTAGATACAAGCCTGTTTGTCAGCTGAGGGCCCCACTCTTACTCAACTACCCAGAGACACTGTGCCCCCAACCAGACAGGGACAGTGTCCAGCTGCCTGCCTGGCCCTGAGCAGCCCTTGGCAGCTCCACTAGAGGCTACTCAGGCAGAATGGGAGAGTTAGCATTTACAGGGTTAAAGACTCTCCCACATCCCCTTATGAACTAATCCTAGAACAAGCAGGAAGGCAGATGGGGTAAAGACCGAGGTGCTGAGAGGAATCTGGACCAGGGTCCCAGACCAAAGAATTAGGGTAAGAGTAGGATCGTCCTCATGGAGAAAGGCTGGACAGGACCTCTGAAGAGGGGAAGCCAAAAAGTCCAGATCTTTCTCTGATGACATGCCCACTCCATATACTAAAACACACACATTGAAAGACTGATTTTTGCTCCTAAATGTATCTTCAGTAGCTCTCCTACCCCTATTTCCACCACCAGTCACATTACAGCCCCACTCATCTCTCACCTTGATTGCATTCATAGCCTCCAAGGGGTCTGTCTCCCGCAGTCCTGCCTATTCAGTCTAGACTTTGCTGTGGCTCATCCCAACCCACTTCCTTTCTGATGTCCCGCCACACAAAACCCTTGACATTCTTTGAGCACACCCTCTCTTTCAGAACTCTAAGCCTTTGTACATGATGTTGCTCTGTGAAATGTTCTATTTCTTGGTGAACTTAAATTCATTTTTTTAGATTTAGTTTGTATTGCTTAGCATTAGGCTCAGCTGCAAGTGACAAAAAAGGGGGAGGTAAGTGGGAGAGAATAGCCTAAACAAAATGGAATTGTATTTCTCATTTAAACACAAGCCAACCAGCAGGGCTCCTTCTGTCTTATTGCACTATCGTCTATAAGAGCTCATGTCCAAGTTGCAGCTGTTCCAGCTCCAGCCATCAACTCCCATCTCTCAGAAAGAAGGAAAAGAAGGGCATATTTACTCCCTTTAACAGCATATCCCAGAAATTTCTCATAACACTTTTACTGACATCCCATTGTCCAAAATGTAGTCATATGGCTGCACTTAGCTGGAAAGGAGGCTGGAAAATGTAGTCTTTATTCTGGATGACTATATTCCCAGCTTGAAAAGAGCTATGTTACTCCAGAAGAAGAGAGAGGATATGGGGTGAACAATAGTAGGGTGTTCTGCATATCTCCAACATTACTCTGAATGCCTTCTACTGCCTTCACCCTTCTCTGCTCTGGGCACAGACTGATTCCATATTAATCAGTCTTCTTTACAGGTAGGCTAAGGGCTACAGTAATTATGTGAGCTTCCCATTTGTATCCCCTTACAGGTGAGCTTTTGAATGACTCCTTCTAGTACTGGAGATGCCACACCTCCAGCCCTTCCAACAGTTTTTTTTTAGAAACCCTTTAATTTTCTTTTGAAGCCTTTCACACTTGAAGTTCATAGAGCAGCTTCTGGTTTTCTGACAGAAGGAGGATTAATACAATAAGGAGATACAATACACACTCATGCTTCCGTAGCTGATGACATCTTATAGTTTAAGGGTTCTTTGTTTTTAAATCAATATTTACTTTCAATTAGTTGACATACAATATTATACTAGTTTCAAGGGTACACCCCAGTGACTAGGCATTATATAACTTAGTAAGTGATCATCCCAATAAATCTCATACTCATCCGACACCATATGTAGTTATTAGAATACTATTGACTATATTCCCTATGCTGTACTTTACATCATCATGACTGTTCTGTAGCTACCCACTTGTACTTCTTAATCCCTTCAGCTTTTTCACTCATCCCAACTCCCTTTCCATCTGGCAAATGTCAAAATGTTCTCTGTATCTATGAGTCTGTTTCTGTTCTGTTTGTTCATTTATTTTCATTTTTAGATTCAATTGTTGATAGATATGTATTTCTTGACACTTTATTGTTCATATTTTTTATACTCTTCTTCTTAAAAAAGACCCTTTAACGTTTTATGTAATTCTGGTCTGGTGGTGATAAATCCTTGAATTTTTTTTCTTGTCTGGGAAGCTCTTAATATGTCTTTCAATTCTAAACAATAGCTTCGCTGGGTAAAGTCATTTTATTTGTAGGTCCCTGCTTTTCATCACTTGGAATATTTCTTGCCAATCCCTTCTTGCCTGCAAAGTTTCTGTTGAGAAATCAGCTGACTAGCTTATGGAAGCCCGAACTACTTTTCTCTTGTTGCTTTTAAGATTCACTTTGTCTTTATTTTAACCTTTGGCATTTTAATTATGCTGTGTCTTGGTGCGGGCCTTTTCTTGTTCATCTTGTTTGGGATCCTCTGCACTTCCTGGACTCACATGTCTATTTCCTTTAACAGGCTAGGGAAGTTTTCTGTCATTATTGTTTTATTTTAATTAATTAATTGTGATCATTTGCTATATTAATATAGAGCAATTAATCTTAGCCATAAGAAATTATAATTAGCTATGTGATTGTTACAAGTTAAAATTTATTCTGTTTCCTATATTGCCATTTAATTAGAAAAATAAATTAAAAAACCCTTGCCACCTTACAATCAATTTGAAGTAGGTTGTTTAGGAATAACAATATAAAAGAAAGTATAGACTGGAATGTATATTCCAAACAAAAAGGTTTGATCCATTTTGGCTCATAAAGCAAGAAAATAATGTTTATGATTTTGAAAATATTTTTCCTAAAGCTGGAACTTTTTCCCTAAGTTGGTTCCTTTGTGATATATTTTCTTGAGTTCTACCCTTAACTGCACACTAACAGCCCCATGGTATCAGAACTCATGTACTATTGAAAAATAGCAAATAGACCCAAAAGTAGAGCCAATTTTGGTGTTGAAGTTGGGGCTTCACTTAAGCCAGTCCAGGAAGCAGGTCATCCACCCACCATACAATTCACATACAGAGAGAATAATCTGTGTGAAATGCCAGTAATATTTCTTTGACTATGGTGTGAATGAGGACCAATGCCAGAGACCCATCCAGGATAACAGTTGGAATTTCCAAAGACACAATGATTGATTGGGTCAAAATTAAGCCATCTTGCATCAGCTTTGCCATATTCGTTCCCAGTGTGAAGTGCACCGAGGCATCATAGCAGAGCCAGGTGAGCAACCCGCAGTCTGCTGCCGTCCATTCCTGTCCCTGAGGCAGACCCAGCCCACAGCCCACACCCAGCTGAGCAGTGCACAGTGGCAGCAAGCCACCTGTGGTGGTCTCCCCCAGCTCCAGCCTTGCACCTATGCTTCCTTTTTACCAATGCCAGAGGCTCATACTGCCTCCATCATCATTTTTTTTTAAATAGGTTTTTAAGTTCTTGCTCTTCCTCTTCTCCTTTCAGCACCACCATGATGTGAATGTTCATACATTTGACATTGTTCCAGAGGCTCCTTACACTATCCTCACTTTTTAAAATTCTTTCTTATTTTGTTCTGATTGGATATTTTTTTGCTTTCTTATATTCCAAGTTGCTGTTTTGATTCTGAGCTTCTTCTACTCTACTATTGATTCCCTGTAAATTATTTTTCATTACAGTTTGTGTATCCTTCATTTCTGACTGTTTTTTTTTATGGTTTTCATGTCTTTTTTTTTATGCTGCTGATCTTCTTTCTAAGTTCATCTATCTCTCCTAAGTTCATTAAGCATCCTTATAAGCACTGTTTTAAACTCTGCATCTAGTAGGTTGCTTGTCTCCATTTTGTTTAATTTATTTTCTGGAGATTTGTTCTGTTCTTTCATTTGGGACATATTTCTTTGTCTCCTGATTTTGAAAGTCTCCCTGTATTTATTTCTATGTATTAGGCAGAGATACTACACCTCCCAGGCTTCGTAGAGTGATTTAATGTGGTAGGTGTCCTGTAGGGTTCAGTAACACAGTCTCTCCATTCACCCGAGCTAGACATTCCAGGTGCGCTGCACCCACCACCACCATGGATTGTGTACACCTTCCTATTGTAGTTGAGCCTCGATTGCTGTTGGCACATCAGTGGGTGGATTTACCCCAAGGGCTATCAGCTGCACGGACTGGCTACATCCATGGTGGAGCATCAGCTGTGCAGGGGCCCACCCCACGGGTCAGGACTTACTTCAGTGGGGCTCTGGTGCTGCTGAATCTGCTCCTTGAGTGTGTTGCTTCTAGAGGTGTTTGGGTGGTGCTTAGATATGATGTAAAGCTGTCCACTGGATGTGCTAGCTCTGGGGCCTTCTAGGAGGTGCAGGCCAAGGTCAGCCACTGCTTGTGTTCTCCCTGGGGCTACCCAGCCAGAGATACAGAGTGATCTGCAGATGGCTGCTGCTTGAGCTGGGCTCGGAAGTGCCCAGGAGAGGCCAAGCTGTGAACCAAGGCTGGCTGCTGCTACTATTAGGTCTGGGGCCACTTAGCAAGAGGTATGGGTCATGCTGAGGTTAGATGTTGCTTATTTGAAAGATTTTAGGAAAGTCCGAGTCATGAGCCAAAACAGGCCATTCTTATGGAAAGATACTGGAAATAGCTTGGGTGGGCTCACAAGTTGAATGGGGCAGGGTTTCAGGGAGTCACCAGGGTTAGAGAACAGTGTAAGCCAGGTTGATGGAGACTCAGATATGGCTCCCACCTGCTGGCTCTGTGGCTCTGTGGTTCTGTGGCTCTGTGGGTGGAGGGTTCAGAAAAGTAACAATGACCTCTACCTACACTTTTGTCTGGCAGAAAGCTGCCCCTCCAGCTCTCACCCCGATGCCAGACACTTCAGTTTCTCCCTGTATGTTCCTGAAAATTTTGAGCTGCTGCCCCATCACTGGAACTTAGAGGGAGTGAGTCTGAGTAAGTCTGTGTGCAGGCCCTTTAATAAGAGAAATTGCCTGGGACTCCAGAAGCCCTCTGTCTCCCTCAGCCACAATCCCTGCTGGTTTTTACAGCCAGAAGTTATGGGGACTTCTCTTCCCAGCACTGGAACCCTGGGCTGGGTGGCCTGATATGAGATTGGGGCCCCTTGTTCCTCAGAGGGAACCTCCATAGTTAAGATATTTCTCCTGATTTTTATCTGTCACACTTGGATGTGGGACCAGCCTGTCCACATCTCTGCCCCTCCTAACAGTGTCAGTGTGGCTTCTTCTGTATATCTTTAGTTGTAGAACTTCTTTCAGCCAGATTTCAGGCAGTTATGAATGATGGTGGTTCTGTAGTTTAGTTGTATTTTTTGTTCGTGGGAGGATGCAAATACCACATTTACCTATGCCACCATCTTGACCAGAAGCCCACTCTACATTCTAGTTTTAGTTTTTTTAATGTTTGAATTGGTTGGCAGTATTTGTATATGTGTATATGTTATGTGCTTTGTGTGTGGCACCATTTGAAATAACTGTATACAGCATGACATTTCATCCTAAATACTCCAACATGTATCTCCTAAGAATAAGGACACTTCTACATAAACACAATACCATTATCACACCTATGAAGATCAAGATAATTCTTTAATATTATCTAATAGGTACTACATATTCAAATTGCCCCAGTTTTTCCAAAATGCCTTTTATAGATGTTTTTTCTTCTTAAATTAAGTATCCAATATTTTTCATCAGGTTGCTATGCCTCTGTTTCTCTTTTCAGTTAGAACAGTACTCCCCAACCCTTGACAATGACTTTTTTTTGAAGAGTCCAGGGGAAACGTCTTATAAAATGTTCTGGATTTGACTGTTTTGTCATCGTTAGATTCAGGATAAACATTTTTGACTCAAGTATTTGGACTGGAAAACAAAATCTGTAAAGGTTTGTACTTACAGAAGAAATATATATGTAGATGGAGTGACATTTTTTAAAATCACTATTTTGGAATCCTCAGGTCATATTTGATTTACTCTAGGATCATGAATGCTAAAACCAGTAGGTGAATAATTATTGGGAAAGGATGCCTCAAACTATCACCCATCAGAACACTTACCAGTTACTAAACTGTACAAGAGTAAAAAGCAATGGAGAAACCTGGTGGATCATTTGTTAAAATGATCACACTTAGCATGACCATCCTTGGCTGGTGTGGGTCAATTGGTTGAAGCATTGTCCAGTAACTGAAGGGTTGCAGATCTGAATCCCAGCCAGGGCACCTACCTCAGTTTCAGGTTTGATCCCTGCCTGGGTGCAGGTGATCCTCAGTCTAGGTACAAAGGTCTGGGCATGTACAGGAGGCAATCAAACCATATTTCTCTGTTATCAATGTTTCTCTCCCTTCCTCTCTCTCTGAAAGCAATGAAAAAAAAATGTCCTCAGGTGAGAATAAAACATAAATAAAACTTAGCCCTGGCTGGTGTGGCTCAGTGGATTGAGTGCTAGCCTGTGAACTGAGGGGTCACTGGTTCAATTCCCCATCAGGGCACATGCCTGGGTTGCAGGCCATGTTCCGGGTTAGGGGTGTGCAAGAGGCAACCAACAGATGTTTCTCTCCCTGCCTTCCTCTCTAAAAATAAATAAATACAATCTTTACAAAAATAAAATAAAATAAAACTTAGAATCACCAAATAGAGGGGCAACCTGAATTTTGTACCTCCAGATGTGATGCAGTATAAGGGGCCACAGCACCTGTGAAGTATTTTGAACCAGATTATTTCCACATGAACTTCTTGGCACTTCCCTTTTCTTCACTATTTCTCTGTTGCTCAGTATCATGGTATTCACAGACAACTGCATGCTTAAAAGAGAGTTACCTATTTAGGCTTTTTTTTAAAATCCAAGAATCGCTAACATAACCTGGATGTAGAGTAAAAAGAATTTTAAAATGTGTATTTATAAAGATTAAAATGTATCTTACTCTCTAATGAAAGGGTAGCAGTAGTTTTACTTTAAACACATAAACAAGTGCACAGATCTCAAATAAGAACTCAATATGCACCAAATGAGAAGGGCTCACAGGCAGTCTTTCTCTTGTTGCGAATATTTTTTAAAGGAACATTAGTGATTCCTCATTCTAAACAGTAAGTACAATTTCTTACAATTTGTTCTCCTTCAGGCTAACATGCCAATAACTCTAGTGTAAATGGTGATGCAGCAGTCTTCCCTCAGTGTGGCAGCAGTTTCTGGCTTCCATCTCAGGACACACCAGCAACATCAGTAGAATGTAGTCACTGGTTATTACAAACCTATTCTAGATGGTTTATGCTTCTTTTTTTAAGTATTTTATTTATTTATTTATTTATTTATCTTTAGAAGGAAGGGAAGGAGAGAGGGAGAGAAATATCAATGTATGGTTGCTTCTCCTGCATCCCCTGCTGGGAATGGGCCCCTGCTGGGAACTGGCCTGCAACCCAGGCCTGTGCCCTGATGGGGAATCGAACCACAATCTTTTGGTTCACAGGACCGTGCACAATCCACTGAGTTACACCAGCCAGAGCTTTATGCTTCTTTTTTTATTTTTCTTTTTATTTGTTTGTTTGTTTGTTTGTTTATTTAATATGGAACGCTTCACGAATTTGCATGTCATCCTTGCGCGGGGGCCATGCTAATCTTCTCTGTATCGTTCCAATTCCAGTATATGTGCTGCCGAAGTGAGCACTAAGCTTCTTTTTTAAATATATTTTATTGATTATGCTATTACAGTTGTCCCACTCCTCCCCTTCATTCCCCTCCATCCTGCACACCCCCTCCCACCCACATATCCCCCCTTTAGTTCATGTCCATGGGTCCATACATATAAGTTCTTTGGCTTCTACATTTCCTATACTGTTCTTAACCTCATCTGTCTATTTTCTACCCACCATTTATGCTACTTATTTTCTGTACCTTTTCCCCCTCTCTACCCCTTCCACTCCTCTGTTGATAACCTTCCATGTGATCTCCATTTCTGTGTTTCTGTTCTTGTTCTAGTTGTTTGCTTAGTTTGCTTTTGTTTTTGTTTTGGGTGTGGTTGTTAATACCTGTGAGTTTGCTGTCATTTTACTGTTCACATTTTTTATCTTCTTTTTCTTAGATAAATCCCTTTAACATTACATATAATAAGGGGTTGGTGATGATGACCTCCTTTAACTTGACCCCATCAGGGAAGCACTTTATCTGCCCTTCCATTCTAAATAATAGCTTTGCTGGATAGAGTAATCTTGGGCATAGGTTCT